TTGCGTAAGTCCCGCCGCATGCATTTGGAGATCTGTCTGTTCAGTTGCCTGTATGCTGTCAAATTTGTTGAAGAATGTAGCTTCATCTCCCGTCTAATAGCCATGAGATTAAGAGTGTGATCGGAGACTTTTTGTGTTCTTCTGCGGCAGGTCTTGCAGAACTTAGCTCCGACCGCATGGACAGTTTGCACGGGCTTGTCATTCATATCGTCCACTTCATTGCAGTCTTCTAGGCACTGAAATCGATTTTGTAACTCGAGCTGAAAGATTTCGGGACTTTGGATCAGAGCACGAGGGGGACGGAGCATCGGCTTCATTAGACGAGACCTCTCCAACTTAACGTTTAGGTTCAGTGTGCCTCTAATCATTCGGTGATCGCTGCCGGTTTTCACCCTCGCGATCACTGAGACATCACTGAACAGTTTTCGTCTGGTCGTCATAATAAAGTCAATCTTATTTTTTGACGAACCGTCAGGGCTTGACCAGGTCCACTTCCTGTAGGGCCACTTCTGGAAGAAAGAGTTCATCATAAAGAATCCCTCTTTCTCCATGAAGTCGGCTAGCTCCTTCCCCCTTGGGTTCCGTTGCCCTATTCCAAATTTCCCTACTTTCAGCTCACCGTTCTCTCTTGTGCCTAGTTTTGCATTGAAGTCTCCCATTAACACCGTATATTGGGTTTTGGAGGAATGCATGGCTCTAGAGATATCCTCATACATTTCCTCCACCTCCTCATCGGGGTGTGCCGAGGTTGGTGCGTAAACCTGTATGACCTTCAGCGAATACCGTTTGGTGATTCTGAGTACTGCTCTGATACTGCTCTGTCATTACGAAAGTTTCTTCAACCAAGTACCTAGGAATCATTATAGATCAACGTTTAACTTGGCATGAACATATTGATATAATAACATGTAGATTTAGAAAAATAACCTGGATTTTTAAAAAGCTTAGACATATTACTTCAGATAATCTTATTAACAAAATTTATGTAGCTTTAGCCCAATCGTTATTAACTTACTGCCTTCCGATATGGGGTACAGCAACAAAAACAAAATTATTGCAATTGGAAAGAGCTCAGCGTGCCTTAGTAAAGACAATGTACTTTTTGCCTTATAAATTCCCAACAGAGAGCCTATATTTAAAATCTGATGTACTTAGTGTAAGAATATTATATATTTTACACACAATATTAAAAAGGCATAAAGATTTGTTTTATGACCCAAATACTTTGCATAAAAGAAGAAAAGACATTGTACTTAACTCTTTTCGTGTTAAAACTGCATTTGCTAGACGTCAGTTCATTAACCAATCTATCTATCTGTATAATTCTGTCAACAAAAATCTTAATATTTACTGTAGAAATACCAAGGACTGCAAGTTATTAATTATAAATTGGCTGAAAACCCCGTCTTACGAAAGCACAGAAAAACTTTTATGTTTCAACACATAAGGTGAAAATAATATTTCCCAAAAAACACACACATACACACAAACAAACACGCACACACACACACACATACACACACACATTTATTTATTGGCACTTAGCCGATGACGCACAACTGACTCAGTGCCTGAGCCTGTGACGTTCTGCTGCCGGGTGCAATACTGGCACCCGGCAGCAGAGCGCTGGGTGACGTCCTCCGTGCCGCCAGAGCGCGATGCTGCCGCCGCTCCCAGAGAGCAGTCCGCAGACTCGGAGCCGTAATCTTAAGTTCTGTTTATGTATTGGATTATCATTGTAAAAAGACAAGTTTGTAGCGACTAACGTTATTACATACACACCGGACTAGAAATTGTTGAATAATTTTAAACTACTTTTGTTTTTTTAGTTTTTTTTTTCTTTGTATAATATGTAATTATATGTTTCTAGAAAGTTTTGTATAGCTATGGAAGAGCGGGAGTCTCTGACACAAGTGCCTTAAGGTGCTTAAAAGACGCTCCCTATCTTATGCAAATTGTGAAATGCTTAATGAAATAAAAGAGATTAAGAATATAAGGTACGCAACCCTCATCGACACACTCTCAATCTTTACAACGTTGTTAACGAGAGACTTGTGGACGATAAATCCGACACCTCCTTAGGACAGATGGTCGCCCTCCCGGTAATAGAGCAAGTTACCGGATTCGAGGATTATCGTTTCCTCCCCCTCTCTTCGGACTTCGGATAATCCTATAATATGCCAGCGTAACTTGTTTATCTCTTCTTCCAGCTCCACAATCTTCTCGTCAGTCCTCAGGGTGCGTGCGTTGTATGTTGCCAGGTCGAGTCGTCTAAGGTGGCAACCGAACCTCCACCGAAGATTCTTAGGACTTTCTTAGGGGGCCGTCTCTTAGTAACTTTATCCATTTGGGGGGTATTTGCCATAGTTGCCACGCTTGGTGAGCGTGTTGGCAACCGCAGTTTTTTATTGCATTTTTGCTGTTATCCGGAAGATGCTGCTGCCCATCTCCTGCCTGTTTCCCTTTGTCGCCTTTTACGACACCCACGGGAACATATGGGGTAGTGGATATTCTCAACCGCCACTACACGGCAATGATTCATTAATATTTACAAATGTTAAATATTATTTAATGTTATACAAGTGTAAAAGTAAAGTCGATTTGAAAACCTCTAATTAATAAGAATAGAAAACAAGTGTTTTCAAAAGGAAACAAACGCCGGCGCTATACGGCGGAGGATTGACGAAAGACTATTTATTAGCAAACTTTTTTTTACATGAACGGCTTCAAACTGTTTCAAGCAAAAATAAACCTTATACCATATCACAAGAGCACATGGTACTTCGTAGGTCTATTCGGCCATATGATAGTAATAAGACGGCAGTTCAACCATTTTAAACAATAAGACAAACGCATTGTTTTTTTGATAGGAAACTTGTTTTCCAGAAATTTATTTGCAAATTGAGTTTGTGAGCGATCGCAATGAGTGCTATTATTTGTTACTTATTAGACTATTTTTCCACAACATGATTGAAAACCCACAAAGTAAAAAGAGTACCATGTACAAGTTAAAAAAAGGTTGTCAACCCCTAAAAATATCAAATTTTAAAAATATCCAGAAACGAAGCTGCAGGCACGAACTACTAGCAAAATAATTTTGCTTTTTTTATAAAAAAAAACTTACAAAATAATGAATATTTTGTTCTGGAAAAATTTTTGAAAAACGCAATTTGAGCGAGTTATAACGATTTTTAAAAAGACACGACTCGTGTGTCATACGCACGCCTGGCGTGTCGTCCTCACTGACCGGGGGACATTTTATACATTCACCAAAGTCCCAGAAAATACCTATATGCACAAAGTATTTCTATTACCATGTTTTTTTTTTATTAAACAGACTATAAAAAGGGTTATTTACATTAAAAAACATGGTTGATTACAGTGGCGTAGCCGGAGGAAAAGGTGCGGCCCGCAATAAGTGTCACCTAATCAGGTGGCGCAGAATCATTTACGTATTTTGAAAAAAAAAAATATTTTTATTTATTACAGCCGTCAGCATTACTTAGTATCATGTTGTGTGAAAGGCCACCACCCCACCATACCATGACCTACTATTGCTGATATTACTTATCATATTTTCGAAAAAGTTAACAGATGTCAAAATGATTTTAATTATTATTCGTACTTTACTTCACCTAGTTTTAAATATTATTACATGTGCAAATAATGTAAAATGATTGCATAAAACATTTAGAGACAAAAATCACTAGCGAATTTTTTTTCTTAAACAATAACACAAACGCATTGTTTTTTTTTTTAACAGGAGACTTGTTTTCCAGAAATTTATTTACAACTTGAGTTTGTGAGCGATCGCAATAAGTGCTATTATTTCTTACTTATTAGACTATTTTTCCACAACATGATTTAAAACTCACAAAGTAAAAAGAGTACCATGTACAAGTTTGAAAAAGGTTGTCAACTCCTAAAAATTTCAATTTTTCAAAATATCCAGAAACGAAGCTGCATGAACTACTTGCAAAATAATGAATATTTACGCCTACGCCTGGCGTGCCATCCGCACTGAACCGGTTAAGAATGTTTCAATTCAGTAATTAGAATATTGCTCTAAGGAACAGGCGAAAACCAAAAGTGAAAGACTCATCCAAATCCATTCACTGGTTTTCGGGTGAAGTGTTCAGATAGATAAACACTTTTCTAAAATTGTTGCTTTGGCATCTATATCAATAGTAACATATAACATGCATCAACTAGAATTTTCAAAAAATTCAAAAAGTGCTTATAACTTATTTGTAAAGATTTTACATATAAACAAGTATGATAAATCTCAATTGTCATTAGTATTTTACCAAGACTGAATACAAGCTGCATAATGATGATATATTCGCCTGGACAATTTTGATCATGGCAAGACGTTTGAAAAACTATAAACTTTAAACATATTATATTGCCTTCAGCTTAAGTGCTAGGCTCATTCAAATTTGACTATGGCTGGGTATCCAAGACCTAATGCTTCCGTTGCATATGCTGTTTCTTGACTTGCCTATTGTTGTGATTATGTAAAAATGTTCTTTAGTTTTTAGTTGCAAATCCTACCTAATAAGATAGAAGCCCACATTCAGTAATAGACTGTTTAGGTGCTGATGAGAAGAATAAGGATGATACCAAAATAATCGTAAGTCATCAGCCTACAGGTAGCCCATTTACCAAAATGGAAAACAGTGCACTTTTTTTCAATTTTACATTACATAGTACCCCTGAATCTTTCCTTTCCGGTACACTGGATACACATCAATAAGGATGATACTGAACAATAATATGTAAGTGATAACTTCTATACAAAACAGTTTTTACCTTTAATGATTATCGAAATCGCAGAAATATGTAATGGGGAGTGGAAACACCAAATTGCTTAGCCAGTTTGAGAAAACAATATTGAAAACTGTTTTCGAATTTCAAATAAAAAACCTTAACCGTGTTTTATAGTGTTTAATAGTGCTACAGAAAATAAATGTTTAATCAAACACTAGTCCTTAAGGATACTAAGGCGATGGTGGTGGTGAGTTCTGTTTTGCATTGGCAGCTAAAATAGCCCCAGGGGCAGGATATGGCCTCATTTGATATAATGATCCTGATGCTGTTGTGTCCACTCCAGTTTTAGCATGACTATCCAAGCCAGATGTCCAATTACCTCTTGGAATATCTGAATATGAAGCAGGGTCCATTGGATCTAAATCATTATCTTTCACCCTCTGTCTCTTTTTGTCTCTATGATGCACCATTTCTCTATTTTTGTCCCTTCTTTCATGTCGTTTTTCCTTATGTTGTTGCTGTGGAACTTCTTGATCTGAAGCTTCACTACTATCATCACTTTCATCACCTTCTTTCAACAATCTCTCTTCCCTTAAATGGGCAGCACTCTCACTAGGAATAGCTTGTGGATGTGCTGGTGGTAACCAAGACACTAGATTATTATGGACATTCCAGAAGTAGTGCTGTCCAGTACCCTCATCATAAACTTCTTCCCAACCAGGTGGAAGTGGCCACAGCTCCAACGCTTTTTTCTTATTTTCCAAATATAATTCATTTGGTACAAGTTTGCCTTGTTTCCATGTTTTGACACAAAACTTGGAGCATTCATGAAAAATGTTACTTTTATTTGGACAACCTCGATGACCTTTTATAGGATCAACGTTAACTCCTTCTATTCCCTCCCAAAAATGTTCCTTTGCATTTTGTTCTTCGGGTTTGCTGTCATAATCTTCAGCTATAATTTCTTCATTTGCTTGAATTGGGACTTGATTACTAGGAGAATTTGTATTAGAATTAACCTTCAAGATACCCCTTTTGGCAAGACGAGCAGCTAACGCAGGGGGTAACGGCATATTTTGTTATTGACACAATATACCTAATTTGTTTAATTTTATAATGCGAAGTATCCTATCCCTATATTATTCTGTAATATACCTTCCTCATATAGTACTATATATAATGTACTCTGTGTCTCTTTGCTCTGTGTACTATACTCTTTGGTAATATACAGGTTTCTGTTTAATGTTTATACAAATTACAAAGGTACCAAAGAGTATATAATAAGTATAAAGGTACTCTGTGTACCAGTATACAGACTAGTGACTAACTCGAGTTAAAGCTGGGGATACACATGCCCGTAGCTTGCACACTAGCATACCAGCCCCTTGCACGTGCCAGCTACTGTCATGTGTATACGCTAACTGGCATGCCTGTAACTAGCATACAAGTAGCTAGCACAACATTTGATTTACTTGCATGCCTGTTGAGGGAGGGGACGCGGGGGGTTGCCAAACTGGCACGTGTGAACAGACGCGACAGCTACGGGCATGCCAGTAGCTGACTCGTTGTGGTCGTAGGCACACGTTATTGTTTTTTTTTTCGAAGGTCAAGTTTTTTCAAGTCATTCTTTTGTTGGTTTTTTTGTATTCAACAAGGCACGATGGGGAGATGAGAGAACTATACAGTTCATTCATTTGTACAGAGACTACGAATGTCTTTGAAAGCCGACTAGCCCGCTTTACAAAAACACAATAGCACGTGCCAATGCCTACACTAAAATACAAGAAGAATTTAGTATGACTGGAAAAGAAATTAAAAATAAAATCAAAAGTCTGCGAAGTTTAATTCACTTCGATTGTTATCCATTTTTGGCACGCAAGAATAGGTACCGAGTGACACTCACGAACTGTCCTGTGTATACGCAATGGTAATACTGGCATGCAAGGGCACAACTTGCATGCCAGTATTACATGCAAATGTATCCGCAGTGTGCCAGTTACTCGTACATGCCAGTAACTTTCATGCCAGCTACTTTCCCGATTTACTGGCATGTGTATCCCCGCTTTAACTCGAGCTGCGCTTAACTCGAGTTGGATCTCCCTAACTCGAGTTTGGGCTGGTGTACATTAACGGATCAAGTGAGCCGGCAAAAGAGTAAGCGCGCGATTTGTTCGTTGTGTGCGTGCATTGTGTTTCAGAGAGTATTTAGCTACAACCAAAATATAGTTTATTATAAAATATTGTCAAAAGTTTTTCTTCTTCTATTGTAGGAAACCTGCAGAAAATGATCAGATGATTTTGTGCTTTTTGTTTGCATAACGCTTGATTTACTTTCGATTCTGATCACACATCGTGTATAAAATTTTAAATATTAAATTAATTTATATTCCATATCTTATACAGAATCAACATCTCACAAAAATTCTTTACACGCATAATCACGAAGAAATGCCTACAAACGAAAATGAAGTATTCTGAACCGATGATAACTGAATTTAAGCAAAACTCAATAATAAATATTAAAATCTAAACCTATTAAATAAATTTGAATCAATTTCAGATAATATTTTCAATATGAAAGACGTTGACAAACAAACGTCATTTTATCTTTTTTCTTCTTTTGATAGAATTCTGCTTATATTCAATAACTCAATTTTAATCAATTAATAGGTGATTAATTGTGCAAACAGATGAATAGAATAAAAAAATGGATACGGTCAATTGGGTATGTTGGTTGGAATCCAAAAGAACTGAGAAATATAAAAGAAAAAGCAGAATAAAAACAATTTTATTAAAAGGAGCCATTCCTACATTATTTGTACCAGTAAGTATAATATTGTTACAGTAAGACTTCAAAAATTTAACTTCAAAAACTTTGATAAAAATAGAGATAGATTTTATACGTTATAAAACTGTAGTATATTAAAATAAACTTGAAATTATAATATTTAAGCAATTATGAACCCAACTGAGTATCTATTTATCATTCATTCATTACAGCCCTTTTATCAACTAAAATAATGTATACCTTACCTAACCACCCGCACCTCACGGCCACACTAGTACAATATTTATAGCATAACGCTATTTTTCTCCAAGAGATTGAGCGGAGCTTCGGATTAATTTCCCAAGTCACAATGATAAAACTTTTAGTATAGTTAGGTATAGATATTTAGTAATGCTCCTGAAGTGCCATTAGATGCCCGCGCTGAGACGCGCTGTTCAGTGTGCCAGGATAGTATAAATTCCATTGTATTTGATACTCACAACGCCCGATGCCCGATTTAAGCTTGATGGCGACGATAGTGGGCTAAGGGCTTGATAGCGTGGTTCATCACCTACAGCATTAGTCGTAGAGAAGCGGAGTTTGTGATTAATTAACAGCTGTGCGGATCAATATATCTGCGAGATAAAGCTGCATTTGTCGCATTCAGTCCATGGATGGGTGACCGTTTTCTTAACATACCGAGATTGAGTGCATCTGTATCCTCAGACACCTGGTACAATTTAATATCTCCTACGTATTTGGCTAGTCTGTGTAAGATAATTAGGTTTTTAATATCATGCAGCTAAAATGATAATAAATTTATTATTTTTAGGGCCAGATGAAAGAGAGAACAGCCTTATAAACATATTGGCTTTGAAAGAGAGCAATCTTATTGAAATGTTTTCTACAAGTTTCCTTACTTAAATGATTAAGGTTAAGTTCATATCTAAATCGAATGTTAAGATTAATTTCTATAATGTATTTAATTATTAAATATTTGTAATTAATAAAAGTAATACTTATATGAAAAATAAAGTATATGTACTTCGTGTTCCCGTTTTTTATTTCAATAACAAAGTATAACTTAAACAATAGATACTTAATTTTATTAAGTGTCTATTGTTTAAGTTTTTTTAAATCTTTTCACCGCTTCCTTAACAATAATTTTTCGATAACCCTTGTTAGTAAAATGTACATCACTAGCTAACGCAAGCAATGACAAATCAAAATAGATAACACATTTTGGGGCTGTCAGATAGTTTATACGCCAGTATATTCTAAGTCTATCTATCTACGACTTGCTACATATTTATTTATCTATGATCTACGATGGAATAAAACTAATGATTGCTAATGATTGTAATCATAGATAAATATAACTATGTATTATGAAAGGTAAGTATTGTGTTGTTGTATCAACTAAAGTCGTTAATAGGTGTTTATATTGATGTTTTAACATTCCTTAACTCGGTAAAACAAAAAACGTAATCGCATGCAAAAATTTTTGCCACAATCAATGTATTTATCCTTGGTAGATCAGTACCTTCAGTCTTGAGAGATTGCATTCCGTTCCTCCTGTAATGCGTTTTTTTTAAGATCTCTCAAATTAGCGGGGGTAGAATTTCTTTTTTAATTTGTCTTCCAAGCTTAGCCAAAGCATGCTCTATGGGGTTTGAGCCTGGCGATCGCTCTGGTCCCCTATAGCATTGATTTCTATTTCAACGTCTGAAAGGTTTTCGACAGGTACGACCGCAGTATCGAGATGTGCATTATCATGCATAAAAATAAATAAATCACCGATAAAAGGGGCAAATTAGGGGGGATACTAAAATTTTTTCCATATATCAGTTACATATCATGCCGTTATTAGTGACCCATTCTCAATGAACCCGAGTACCGTACGTGTCCCCATCCAAATACTCCGCATACCGTAACTGATTCTTCACCATATTCCTCTTTTCCAATGATGTTGAACTGAGCGTACATCTCTCCCGGGCGTTTCCACACTTCTGTCATCTGGCTTCAGGAAAAGTCGGAAATCTTCTGTGAATAGAACTTGACTCCAAACTTCGTCATTCTAATTTCCTACATTACTACTCTACTCCTACGTTAATTACTACGCTACTCCATGGCATGTGGTAAGAAGGGGGCCTTTTTAGAGTATTCATAAGCAAGCCATAGAGTGCGAGTATTGATCCTTGCCCAGTAGGCCTCTGCCTCGAATTTTGCGGGCAGCGGGGCGGCGGCGGCGGCGACGCGGGAGTGGGGCGGGCAACGCAGACCCGTGTGGGGATTCCACCACATTATTACACACACCTCATATATACACACAGAAACACAATAACAGTTAAACATAAACACATACAATAAACGTAATTAATTATATATTATGTAACCATTATAGAACAAGCATTTAACACATTGGGACCATTGTGGATCGACCTTTTTCTAGACAGAGCGGCCGGGGATTGAATCGCGGCGCTCGCGCATATCCTGTTGTACTTGTATCAAGTTAGTTACCTGCTGATCGTCTCTGCGACTAGACCCTTGTAACACCTTTGCGCCCGCGGCTAACCACGTACAGTTTATTTGTTAATGCTATCTCTTACTTTCTTGCTTGTGCTATTCTTTGTAACTATGATTGTGCTTGCTTCCCTTCTGACTCTTTATTGTAGTGTGTTTTGTGTCGTGGACTATTAAAAGACTGTGAACGTTAATATAAACTGTTTTCTTCACTGAACCTACGACGCCTTACGCCATTTTAACCTACAACTGGTGACCCCTGCAGAAGACGCTACAGGTACAATGAGTAGTGGTAGTGAATCGCCAGAAACGGCATCAGAACAAAATGTTACCACGCGCCCATGTACAAGGCGCAAGCACCGCCATTTTGGCCGGACGATCCTGAATTATGGTTTGCGCAAATAGAGGGTCAATTCACAATTTCAAACATATTATCGGATACCACAAAATTTTATTATGTGACGAGTAATTTAGATCCTCAATATTCTAAAGAAGTAAAAGGTATTATTGTTTCTCCGCCTTCTAGTAACAAATACGAGAAACTTAAAGACCAACTGATTAAACGCTTGTCAGCATCGCGTGAAAAGAAGATTCAGCAGTTACTCATGCACGAGGAATTGGGAAATCGGAAACCTTCCCAATTCTTACGACACCTGCAGAGCTTGGCAGGTCCCTCGGTACCCGAGGACTTTATACAGAGCATATGGAGCAGCCGACTTCCCAACAACATCCAAACGCTGATTGTGTCGCAACCAACCAGCTCATTGGACGTTTTAGCCGATCTAGCAGACAGAATATACGATATAGTATCTCCAACACTTCAAGTCGCAACAACCTCACGTACTACATCGACACCTGGTACCAGTACGCAGTCTATGGAGAATGAAATAGCGGAGCTGAAAGCAGCTGTTAAGAACCTTACCATGCAATTGAGCAGACGTTCCAGACCATGTGACCGTTCTAGCATCCGCAATCGCAGACGTTCAACTTCCCGATCTGACTCCAGCTACAGAAGATACCCAACCTGTTGGTATCACTCGAAATATGATTCTGAGCTATCACAGCTTCTAGGCGATGAATCATCACTTCGCATTATTAAAGTTAAAGAGCCCGACAGCAAAGTCGAAATTTTTTGCGACATAAGTCTAGGCATACCAAGACCTTTCGTTCCCAAAAGTTTTCGAAAAGCTATTTTTGACAGTCTACATTCTTTAAGTCACCCTGGTGCAAACACTACTGCTAAGCTGGTAGCACAGCGATTCGTTTGGCCAGGAGTCAGAAAAGACTGCCGAGAATGGTCTCGTACGTGCTTAGCCTGCCAGCGCTCTAAGGTAAACCGCCATGTGTCAGCACCTTTAGGCACATACGATTTACCACGAGCCAGGTTTTCCTATGTGCATATCGATCTTATTGGTCCACTCCCATACTCGAATAATTTCCGCTACTGCTTAACAGCAGTTGACCGTTTCATGAGATGGGCAGAAGTTATGCCCATAGCGGATATTACAGCCGAAACTGTAGCGAAGGCACTCCTATCAGGTTGGATCGCCAGATTTGGTTGTCCAACTGACATAGTGACGGACCGTGGACGGCAGTTCGAATCCCATTTATTTAATTATCTATCGAAAATAATCGGATTCAAACACCGCAGAACCACAGCTTACCATCCCGCTTCTAATGGCCTAGTGGAAAGATTCCACCGACAGCTGAAGACAGCTATTACATGTCACGCTGATAGCAACTGGACGGAATCTTTACCTCTAGTACTATTGGGCATCAGAAGCGCATTTAAAGCTGATCTGCAGTGTTCCTCAGCAGAACTCGTCTACGGCGAGCCTTTAAGACTCCCAGGCGAATTTTTCGAAAGCACAGTAAGCACCACAACTGACATTACGGATTTTACTGCACGAATTCGTTCAGTTTGTGAGAAACTGCAGCCTCGTCCCGCATCACGGCATAATAAAAATAAAATATTTATATATAAGGATCTCGCTAATTCCAGCCACGTATTCCTTAGGGAAGACCGGCTGAAAAGCACCTTCCATCCTGCATATTCCGGTCCACATGAAGTGACCGAAAGAGGTGATAAAGTATTTAAGATCATCGTTAAAGGTAAGCAGATAACAGTTTCTATAGACCGTCTGAAACCGGCCTATATGCTGAACACCAATCCGCCTTACGACGTCTCTCCTGATTGCAGCCCCAAAGTCATGGACGGCAGTTTAGAAAACCGGAAAACTACAAGGGCCGGTAGGCATGTCAGATTTCCTGATTTTTATCGACCGTAGGCATGGCCTCTGGGGGGGAGTGATGTGGGGATTCCACCACATTATTACACACACCTCATATATACACACAGAAACACAATAACACTTACACATAAACACATACAACACCTACAATAAACGTAATTAATTATATATTATGTAACCATTATAGAACAAGCATTTAACACATTGGGACCATTGTGGATCGACCTTTTTCTAGACAGAGCGGCCGGGGATTGAATCGCGGCGCTCGCGCATATCCTGTTGTACTTGTATCAAGTTAGTTACCTGCTGATCGCCTCTGCGACTAGACCCTTGTAACACCTTTGCGCCCGCGGCTAACCACGTACAGTTTATTTGTTAAGAGGGCCCTTCCCGGCCCGTCTATCGTCAACGCGAGCATGGTTAAAAAGCTTGTTGTTTCATCCAGCGCAATGTTAGAAAAAGAGGCAAAGCGAAAAGAGAAAGACAGCGCCTGAGCGTTCGGTTGGCATTCGGTAACTTACGGGCTCGCTACTATGGCGCATAGCTATAGTTTTGTAAATTTCTCTGCATGTCTACATTTAGTAGGTACCATATTATTTTATTATATTACTCTTTGTCTAGTATAGACGTGCCACTTGGCCTCGGAGATATGTGTGTGTTGTTTTTTACCAAACTAGGTATCGTACGTGCGCTATTTTTGACATGGAAATTATTTATGTTATAATTATAAATATAATATATTAAAGAAATTATTTATGTTATAAATAATTTTATAATGTTATAAATACACTCGGCGACACATCAAGCTATACGTTTCCAGTATAACATGGCCTCGCTTTGTTTCAATTTCCCGTACAATAAGAATACCGCATAAACTGGTTTATATACCTTGATTTGTCGTCGTGCGTACAAGCCCGGCACGCAAACATTCACAACATATTAGTCGGCCGTTACACGCGCAAACATCAATACTCAGACATAAACTGGACTCAGTTTTGTTTTAGCAGGGTGTTCCATCCAACTTATATTGTTCGTCCATGTTTTACCTAAACAGAGCACGAAAATGTAAAGGTAAATAATTTATTCTGCTTATGGAGTAGCGGTATAAACAGAATAAACTCTTTACCTGTCTAGGCCGTTTGTATTTAGGAAGCTGAAATTAGGTAACGTACCTACTTGTACCGTATGTAAATGTCTCCAAATGTTGTTTAGGTACTAATTTGTACCGTAGTACAGGTGGTTGATCACAAATAAAGTAGTCTAAATAGAGTTGGGTATAAATATATATTTTTATTCTAAAGAACTTTGTTACACTTTATGAACAATACATAAAACAACCCGGTTGTCGAGACGATTCCGATTTCCGAACACAAAGAGTTTACTGTCAGAAGTGATTGAAAATTTAGTAAAAAAACATATTATTATCTGATAACAATAGTAATATTCTCATTCTCAATAGTAATAAAATCGAATTGCTTCAAAATCCTTATCCAAACAAAGTCTGTGTCCGTATTCACAAATGCCAGGTTCGTTTCACATAATAAAATAGCTAAACCTTCGCTAGCAAAATCAGTGTCCGGTATAAAAAAAAGATCGTTGTAGTAGGTAAAACAGATGTCACTAAATATAAAATGCAACGGCACATTGACGAAGCGCAGTCAACAAATTGAATACCTATTACCTACTAACAATTCCGAGAGGCCAGGGAGCCGAACGCGTGCGCCACCGGCGCTCGTCATTCAACTCCCCCGTCTCACCCCGCCCCTACCCCGCACGACTTGTCCCCCGCATACCTCTTACCGCCACTTAGCTAATAAGCAAGTGAGAACGCGATATTATTGAACGAAAAATAGTGTGCGGGAATTTCATAAAACTTGTTCCAGGAAATACGTGTTTTTCAGTAACCCACAAGTTTGTGAAATAAATTTTTGTCATTTAGTCAGTCTCCATTACATTGGCGAGGTTTCTATAAAATAATTTCTTTACTTTTACTATTAGTGAGTACATTATGAACGACCAAAGTTTAGGTAAAATTTATGCAAAAAAGCAGATTTTTGGAGGCTTATACTGAATTTGTTTCTACAAATTTAGATTTTTTGTTTAGATAGGAACCTAGATATAGTGCACAAAATACCTATTAATTATATTATTTATTAAAATTCTCAAAGAAAGATCTATTACAACGCCATAATCACATACAAGCTTTTGTATGAAAAGTTAGACGGGTTGGCCGCTCTTAATGCTATCTCTTACTTTCTTGCTTGTGCTATTCTTTGTAACTATGATTGTGCTCGCTTCCCTTCTGACTCTTTATTGTAGTGTGTTTTGTGTCGTAGACTATTAAAAGACTGTGAACGTTAATATAAACTGTTTTATTCACTGAACCTACGACGCCTTACGCCATTTTAACCTACACCCGTTATCGAAACCAGCGGGCAGATCGCGCAACACTATAGCGGCGTAGTGATGTGTTCATGGTTGTGTTGTCGAGATATTTGTTTTTATTCGTGAACGAAATGTCTGAATAACGGCGACAACATCCTTTTGTTTTAAATTTATTCCTAACGCTCTATTTACTGTGGGCAAAAGAAGAAGTGAATCCCTACTATAGGACAAAGAAAAAAAGGCGAGTTTTATTGAAATTACGATATCGAAGTACGATGATTAGGTATTTCTACAATCACAGATTTGTTATTATTTGACAGTATTTTTTATTATAAGGTTGATATACCTAGTGTTGAGTATTATACCTATACATATATGATTCATTAGAAGGGGCCTTCATTTACACTTAACTCGTCTAAAAGAGCTTGATTAGTTTTTGTCTCACTCTAAACTTTTGTACTGGCGTGAATTTTTCCGCTTGTGGAAGCAAACTCATAAAGTTTTTTTTTTTATAGGAGAGGGGGCAAACGAGCTTGCGGCTCACCTGATGACTGTGACCTGTGACTACCGCCGCCCATGAACAACTGCAACACCAGGGGAATCGCAGATGCGTTGCCGGCCTTTTAAAAAGGAGTACGCCCTTTTCTTGAAGGTCCCTAAGTCGTATCGGTCCGGAAAAATCGCTGATGGTAATCGATTCCACAAGGAGGTCGTGCGAGGAAGAAAACATCTTCTAAATCGCACAGTGGTGGACCGCCAATCATCCAGATGGTGTGGATGGTATCGGGAGTTCTGCCGCGATGTGCGTTCGTGAAATTTGGCGGCTGGGATTAATCCGAACAATTCCTCAGAGCACTCCCCATGGTAGATGCGAAAGAAAATGCAAAGGGATGCAACATCTCTTCGCAGTGCCAATGAATCGAGCCGATCGGAAAGGGCTCGGTCGTCGACAATTCGAGCCGCTCTGCGTTGGATGCGGTCAAGTGGAAGGAGCTGGCACTGGGGAGCCCCTGCCCAGAGATGGGAACAGTATTCCATGTGAGGCCGAACTTGCGCCTTGTAAAGTAGCAGGCGGTGTGCCGGCATGAAATACTGTCCCGCTCTGCTGAGCACGCCAAGCTTTTTAGAGGCCAATTTGGCCTTCCCTTCCAAGTGACCACGAAACTGCACGTCACTCGATATGTCGACTCCGAGGATACCGATACTGGCTGAGGCAAGAAGGGGAGTGCCTTGAAACTGAGGAGATACGACAAAGGGGTTCTTTTTAGCGGTAAACGCGCAAACTTGTGTCTTCTGAGGATTAAATTGGACTAGATTTAGTCGCCCCCAATCCGAGACTTTGTTCAGCAAAGACTCGACTTCAGACACAAGTTTGTTCCGATACTCAGCGACGTTTTCCCGAGAAATATTGGCACGGCCGGTGTATAGAGCATCACCAGTGCTGTCATCCGCATAGCAATGAATGTTACCAGTTAGCAACATATCATTGATATGCAGAAGAAACAGAGTTGGTGATAGCACACAGCCTTGTGGAACACCAGCGTTAATAGGCTTGTAGTCAGAGCATGCACCGTCTACAACGACCTTGATGCTCCGATCTACAAGGAAGCTGGTGATCCAATTGCACAATTTCTCGGGAAGCCCATAGGAAGGGAGCTTCGAAAGAAGCGCTTTGTGCCAAACCCGATCGAAGGCCTTCGCAATGTCCAGACTAACGGCCAACGCCTCCCCCTTGGACTCTACTGCCTCCGCCCATCTATGGGTCAGGTAGACCAGAAGATCACCAGCTGATCGACCCCGACGAAAACCGTATTGGCGGTCACTAATCAGCTGGTGATCCTCAAGGTACCGGATGAGCTGGCAGTTAATAATGGATTCCATTATTTTGGAGAACAAGGAGGTGATCGCGATAGGCCTATAGTTGGATGGGTCTGAGCGGTCGCCTTTTTTAGGGATCGGGTGGACAAAAGCTGTCTTCCATGAATTCGGGACTACGCCTTGGGAGTAGGAGTACCGGAAAAGACGCGTTAGGACCGGTGCCAACTCCGGAGCACACGTCCTCAGCACAATTGGGGGGATTCCGTCAGGCCCACTCGACTTCTGGATGTCCAGGGAGAGGAGTGCTTTGCGAACCGAGCGCTGTGAGAACAGCACATCCGGCATGGAGCACTCACACCGCGGGATGGTCGGCGGTGTTTTCCCCCTGTCATCAAGAGTCGAGTTGGACGCAAAAAGGGAGCCTAAAAGGTCGGCTTTGTCTTTTGCGTCATGGGCCAGTGAGTCATCCTCCCTGTGCAGAGATGGTAGTGATGGCTTACAGAAATTCCCTTGGACAGCCTTGGCGAGAGACCAGAATGCACGGGTTCCCGAAGGAAGGCGAACTAGTTTCTCGCCAATTCTGCCTATGTGCTCTGACTTTGCCTTGGCAATAACTCTTTTGAAGGACCTGGAGGCGAAGTTATACTTCTTTTTAAGTGTGCTGGTATTTACATCCCGAGTCGCCGAAGCCGCAGCCCAGGCTTGATAACACTCCTGCTTACTGCGTAATGCAGTCTTACAGGAGCGACCAAACCAAGACTGAGATCTGCCTCCGATGGGTACCACAGATGATGGAATAAATAGTTCCATTCCCTGTAGCACCACATCAGTGA